CTTTCTGTTTCCTTTTCCGAGTATTCGTCTTATCCACCGCTACCACTCTCAGTGTCTATCACCGACATCTTATCTAATTCTTATTCAGCACGATCTTGTGCGAACAACATCAAAAGCTTTGGAAAAAGATCATATTACTAATCGCGTCGACCCTTTTCCCTTCATCAACTACGTCGCTAGGTCCATGTAGAAGTTGAGACTAGCTGACTTTCGCATGAGAAAACCATTCTCTTAAACCATGCTGACCCTGATAAAGCCACCACTCCCTTCCTCCCATCTTTACCATGATATTAGCTTGAAATTAGAATGTTCCATAATTTACAACGACTGAGTGTAAGGCTACTCGGCCATATAGTTACTAAAGTTATTGAGCGCGTCTTGTCTGCCCTTTTAAAAATTAGGACGTTACGAGAAGCAGCTTCCAATCTTTTCGGGTAGACGCAAGCCGTTGTTTATTGATACCATTAATAACCCTAATTAATAAGTATAATTGCCTCTCCCGCCTAATTGTGAGAGATGTCCTGTGATGAAATACCATCGATGACCTCTGCTTGATTCCTCTCTTCCATTAATTTCTTATCTTCTTTTCCCTCAAAGTAATTTACTTACTCACTATATAAAACTATCATTTACATTTACCAGCGTTGGTATTCTGAAATATCTGTCTAGATTTTGCCGCAAAAACGAGAGCTGTAAATAGCGGCTTAAGAAGGCCTGCGCTTTTTTCCTGTTCCGTTATAGGGCCCGAATTTTTAACACGAACATACTGGAATCTCATCTTTACTTCTCCTGTTCCTTCTACGTAATCGGTACTTAAAATACCGACCCAATTTATACGTGCCCTCGCATGCAAGAATATTGTTTTAAATGTTCCTCTGCCATTTTCTTTCCTTCCTAATACTTTTGAATAATCGAAATAGAGTCATTCGATCTTCACTACGGTGTCTGTTGTTAAATGCTTCCCTGTGTTTCTTTTCACATCGCCTAATCATTTGCATTATATATTCCGGAATCGCTGCTTCTTTTAACAATTACTGGGTACAAAAGCCGGGGCTCAGCATTTTCTAAATATTTTTAAACTCCCCATATATTCATCGGATCTCCTCCTCCTATTCTAAAAACTCGCCATATCGGTTCATCTTAAGTTTTGAATTTTCGAAAGCCCTTGTACATTCGCTTTTTCTTGTATTCCTATCACTTACGACATAACATGGTCGGCTATGTATACTTTTCTTTGAAATATTTACTAGTGTAATCGAGACTAAAACGGTCTTTATGGTCACTTAGCCTCTAAAACGTCGCTACGATCAAGAAAAATCCTTCGGTCTTTTTATAGGTCAATATATCCATGACATCGCATCGCCTTGTCGGACCTGTCACATACTCTGCTCTAATTCCCGTGTCCAACAAGTCGTTTGACTAGTTGTTGGATTATGCCCTTCGCAAGACAATTCCTTTCCATTTGTGTCTGGGAATTTAAGTCTCCAGCTAACTACCATTGACGGTTATTTAATTTTGTTCTCCTCTTAGAAGAGACGCCTAATTCATAGCCTCTTGCTTCCTCGGTTGGACGAATAAGCAAGCCCCAATAATTCTAACAGATACTTCTCTGAACTAGAAAATTTCTCTTACACCGGCATTTTCAAATTCTTTATCAATTCCCAATTTGACTCTGATATTAAATTGTGTATTTTCCAACGCATATAATACACCACCGCCTTCTAGTTTCTGCTATCTGCTCCTAAATCTAAGTAGTATCGGAACCAAAAGATTTCCAGGGTTTGTACCGCGTCCGAAAGCCCAAGACTCTGTTCGCTATTTCTGACAATCAGGATCACATGCTTCAATTAAATTCCAAAAAATATCGATTCCTTATTCATGCATGACTACGACAGTTTCACCTTGCAGCCAATCTAGCGAAGCCCTCTCTCACCTGAATGTCAGTGTCGGGACCGTGCATCCATTCTAGATTCCTTGTGCCGCGGTCACGCCCTCTCCTCCCCGCAGCAGTCACACGCGTTGTCTCAGTCACCTCCCCCGCAGCAGTCAGATGCGTCGCCTCCGTCATTATGACTTCTAAAATCTACATGAGTATATGGATTACTTCAATACTTACATTCCTTAAAAGCAATAGAGATGAGCTCAAATATTATTTAAAGTAATTTTATTTGTGGTAGACATTACATTATTTAGTTTACATATTAACTGTGCAAATGTTGGTCTTAATCTATTGTATACTAAATTACACTAACTTTCTAATTATATACATTACAATTATATAAAAATAATATTTAAAAAAATTAGTGGTAGAGGAAGCAGGAAGCACCTCCGATGAGTATTATACCAGGTTTTTGAATAATTTATAAAATGAGTGGATGGGACATCTGTCCTTAATTCTCGTTTGATAATTGGGGTTTTTGTCTAGTTTATAGCTTAACGATGATGCTTGGATTCGAGGAAGGTTTGTGTTAAATTGTGTGCGAGTTAGATTATTTGGTTTTTTATAGTGTTTATATTTCAATAATTAAGAAGTTGATTGTTACTGATGATCCATGGAGGTTTTGTAATTAATCTTTACAATTTATTTGGATAACTTGAATTTTGTTTATGGTGATATTGGCAGCTTTGGTCCAGATGGGACAAGCATACAGTAACGTTGGCCGGCTGTTTTGTAGAGTGAAAGAGCATTGGATTTGGAGAGTTGACCGTGTTGATTCAGTAAGGATCGTAGTTGAATTAGTTTAGTTTTGGCTTCCTGAGTTTTTCCCTCTATATGTTGATTCCAGTTCAGTCGAATATCGAAGTTTTAAGCTCAAGTATTTTATTGTTTTATTTCTCTGTGTCCAATTTATGTGTTTATGAAGAATGGAAGAGGGTGTGTGGATGGTTTTAATGTGAATATTTTTGTTACAAATTTTGTTGGGTTCAACTTTATTTTCCAGAGATTAGCCCATTTTGTAAGTAAATTTACGTGATTCTGAAGCTGTGTTTGAAGAGTTGTTCAAGACTTCCCTGAGATATATAGTGCAGTGTCCTCGGCACATTGAGCGCTGTTTATTTGTGCTGAAATAAGATTATATACAGTGTGTGTGTGTTGAACAATTTGGGGGAAAGAGGGGACCCCAGCAGAGTCTGCGAAGTGCATCTATGAAGTGTTGAAGTTTGGCTTTTTTGTTGATAACGCCATTGGTATTCTAATTTAGTATAATTATATCATTATGGTGATCCTTAATTGTTGCTAAATGACATAGCAATTGAGTGATGGATATTCTGTATAATTGTTGGTATTTATGAATTTATGTAATTAACGTTGTGATTTCTTATTAACTGAGTTATGTTTTGTATAAATGAGTTACCAACATTGATATTGTTGTAGTTTCAGTTTGTCTGTTGGTTGTTATGTTGGTGTTCTGTGTTTATTGTGTTTTGTTGGTGGTTCATATTTGTTGCATGTCAGAAATTGGGTATATTGTTGATTGGAGGTAGTGTTGGAAAGTTAGTTGTATTGAACTGCGAGGGAATAGGATTGTTCCTAAGACAGCCATTTATACTATTTCTTGTATTTTCTAAAATTTTTCAACAATATGTACATTCTACAGTTTTGAGTTCAGTCCTATGTTTCCCGAGACCATGTTTACATGTAAGAGTGGAGTTCTTTAGTTTGCTGATAGGTGTTCGCCTGCACAAAACACACACGAAATTGTATTGCAAATTACTTTTACTATGTTCAAACTCTAAACCCCGGTAACATTGAAGGGGGCCCTTGGTTTTCTTTCTTCTTTCTGGTTTCACAATGGTATTGCCTATTTGGTTTATTTCTAACACACCCTTGATTTTGTGAGTTCCATCAAAGTCTACTGTCACTACTGGGATGGAGGAATTGTTTTATATAGTGGAGTAACGTTTGCAGCAAAATTGAATTTGTTATTGATTTGGGCTAAAATTGTTTTTCTGACATTGAAGAATGAATATTTTTATCAATATTGAGTATTTTTTACTAATTTTATCCGAATATATGTGAAATTGTTCTTTGGTGGTCAGGAAATATTTAACTACTTTTTGGAAGTCGGGTACTTGATTTTCAAAATTAGTAATTCAAATTGGTGGGATTTCTATTTTTGTTACTTAGATCATCTAGGATCTCTTCATTTTTACCAACTAAATCTGTTTTTGATTTCTACATTGTGTTGACTTCGTAAGATCAACCCTACCAAAGGCTGACTCTGTGGGTTACACATTTTAGGTCTCTATTTTCACTGTCGTTATCGCTGGCTCGATTTCCTTGGGACATTACCTTGTTTGATGCGGTTGGATTGAAGAATCTGACTGTTTTGAATGCGTTTGTTCTTCGGGCTGGTCTGAAAATCAGTCCCAGAATTGGATGTTGTTCCACGCATTGAGTTGAAGTTGTGACGGCATTTCGGTGCATTCCATGCTGTCCGCGAAATTCACGTTGCCTTTGTCGGGGACCACATTAAATGGCTCTTTCGAATTATATAAAGAATTTAAGACCACCAAGTTCACTGACCATTCACCCTGTGCTGGCACAAATATTGTTGTTCATTTAACTACTAAAGCAGTAATAGTGAATAATTATGACCACTGAACACTATTTCGAACACAAAGTCACCACTGTTGCTAACGTTCGAAGTGATGTTGAATTACACTTTCAGGTGCTGTTATCCGAGCGACTGCACTGCCTCCCAGCTGAAGTGAGAATGGGGGTGCAAATGTAAGAAAAGTGTGTAATTCATCATTTCTCCCACTTCTCCTTCAGACGAAAACTCCTCTCGTTTTTTCTTAGGAATTGATCGGGTTGGTCACGTGAGACTCGGGAATGTCTTCAATTGCATTTTTTCTGTGTTCTACATTTCAACCTGCAATTACGAAATTAATGTTGTTTCACCCCTCTTGTGGCAATTCTTAGGAATTTGAAACATCATATCCAAACCTGTAAGATGTGAATAAAAATAAAATTGTATATTTCTTCCTTTTCAGAGATGGTAATTTCAAGCGAGAAATACGACGTGAAGCAGATCAGCAAATCTCTGTTCGAGACCCGTTTGGTGCTTGTTGTTCGCAAGTTTCACCAAAAGGACGTGGGTTCCTACCGATGCATCGCCAAGAACTCGCTGGGGGAGGTGGAGAGTGGCATACGCTTATACGGTAAGAAAAGTTAATCAAGTCTCGGGTTTTGATTCGTTTATATTGCTGTTGTTGTTTAATGATCAGACTGGCTATAATAGCTCAGAGGCAATATCATTGCTTCTGCAGCATCGTTCACCGAATGGTCCCCACAGTAGACTTCAACGTATATGATTAAAGTCCGCTCTGCCAAGTCTCTCAGTATCTGGAGGAAGCAAAATTAAAAATATATTTCTCTTATACAATTTCCGCTTATTTATAATTAATACTCCAGTAACGTTAATATTTTATAATCTTAATTTAATAAATATATAAAAATGACGAACAAGTCACGAAAATAAAACTTTCCGTTCATATTTATCAAATAATCATTTTTCTAAATTCATTAGGACACCTTTTACATTTCATTCAGATCATTTGGGGCCCCTTTGAGGTCGGGCCTAATTCGCCTACAGTTCCGGCAGCCTGTAGCGACTCTGACAGTTCAGAGTGCTGTTACCACACGTTACTACGTTCATGGCAACACCTACATGGCAGATAAATTAAATCTAAAACCATTAACGCTTACTGACAGATTATGACATGTGATATCATGTTCGTAACTTTCACCAAAGCCGAACCTTATTGCCTCCGCGACCTCGTGTGAGTCAGATGAGCGGCAACGCTGATCCCTGGCTGTGAGAAAGTAAACAAATCCTCGCAAGCTGATTGCTTCATAGCAGGTCACATGACGTACCACAGCACGTGGCGAGGAAACTGTCAGAGTTGCTGCCGGTACTGTAGGCGGAAGTCCGGGCGGTCCAGAGGGAAGTGACAAACGCAACCGCGCGCGCGTGTGTGTGTGTGTGCAGAGATCCCGCGGTCGTCGAGCAACGGCGTGCGCGGCAGCGACGACAACTACGGCGACTCGGACGACGACGACGACGACGGGCTCAACTACGGCTCGGCGGAGGACCCGGACGACGAGGTGGGCGGCAACACGGTGCCCCAGCGCGGCCACATGACGCACCTGGCCACGCTCGTCCCGCCCGTCCTGGGCGTCTTCAAGACGCACGACTCGGACAACGACGTGGTGGGGGCGCCCGGGCGCGGCGGCTCGCGCCATAAGGGGGTGAGCTCGGCCGCCGCCGGCGACGCCCGCCCGCCCCCGCACGCCTTTGCGCTGCTGGCGCTCGCCCTGGCGGCGGCGGGGGCGCGGCGCCCGCCCGTGTAGTCCCCGGGCGTCTGCGGCTGCTCGTGTGGCCGCTCGACCCGGTCACGTGATGTCGTCGCCGCACCGCTGCTCCTGCAACAAACGAAGTGGCGCTCGTCTGTCTGCGATGAAACAGCAGACAAATGCGAAGTTCACCCCGACAACAATGGATCACTCCGCTTTCAACCTAATCCAGCTTATGTTTCTGCTCGCGAAGAGGTTAATCTTGCATGCTTTGGAAATTGCCTTCTTTTCCCTCTTACAATCCAACCGTGTTTCGTTACTTATTTTGACTCAGCGTGGTTCCAAACTTCGCGCGGAAACTGGCCACTGTTTCTCAAAAAAAGGACGGTAAGACCCCCCTTTCTTCGTGGCTGGACGACGCTCTATTCTCTATCTCTCTCTTTCTCTCTCTCTCTCTCTCTCTTCGCGGAACTTTCTCGAAGCATTGTGTAGTGACAATAATTGAGGTTTAAACGGACTCGGATGGACAGGGGAAGCTGTGGTTTTGCGTGCTGAAACGAACTGGCATGTTTTGGAGAAGAATGCGAGTTTTGTCAGCGAGGACTGACAGTGTTGGATGTGACTGCACGTGTCGCCAGTAGGTGGATCAATTTGCTTTTAAATCGGCTGCTGTTGTTTGTTCGTTTTTTGCGTCGTTCTCATGTAATGGTGCGCGAGATGTTATAACAAATAGATTTTATACATCCGAAACTATATACGCGGTCGATGAAAATGTCTCGGCCCGGATGAACAATCATATATCCTATTCTGTAGATTTTTCAAGTCGAGTTTTTTTCGGTACCAGACCCACCGTGACAATTGCAAGAGACATGTGACAAATCAAGATTCTCCATCGTCCTACTAGTTGGCGAAGTGTGCGATGAAGTGAGAAGTGCTCGAGTCAAATGACAGATTAACTGTTTCAAAACAATGAGGTCCATCACGACAAGACCACATTATCTGTTGCCTTATTCTCAATGTCTGTTAGTCTTGTAAGCGTCAAGCACCTTGTACATAACGGCCGTAAAAGGTGGTAGTTAGATGTGAAGCAAAGATTGTTCTACATATATACATGTTCATCTATGCTCGTATTTAAAGAAAATCGCAGGAAAAGTGGACAATTAAAGAAGAAATTCTTGAATATCTCTTTGACCTTTAACCTTTTGCTTTAAATCTCCTTGCAACACTTAACCCTAGAGTGTCAAGCATATCTTGTGAGATAATTAGGTTTGATAACATTGAGAGACTTTCAGAAAATGTTTAGGCAGTGTGACGTCTGTATTCAGATTGAGAAAATCCGATACGAATACTTTCGTCAAATACATTTTTGTTCGTAAACAAAATAACACTATCATTATGTTTTAACCATCGTGATGGATATAAATAAAGTCTGAATAAGTAGCAGAATAGATCTTTCATTTACGAGTAAGTGTTAGCAATATTTGTACGCCAGTTCTCTAACTAAAGAGCTATAGAGTTAGCAAGATATTTTATTTTTATAAATATAATCTGATTTTAATATATTGACTGTTTCACGCCTCTACAGGGTATGACATATTTTCCCGTAGACTAGTGAAGTACTAGTAGTCTTCTGAATTGGGGCATACCTTAGGTATTTTCATACGAAAAGAAGAGAAAGTTCGTGAAAGATTGTGATTTCCTGCGTCTTTGTAGATCATTGTTCGTTAGCATTAATGAAGATAAATCCCGATCATTTGATCTTTTGACTTTTCAAAAATGCTTAACGTTTAATCAGAGCAACACCGAATCATGTATGTAATACTCACTTACGGGATGAAGTGTTGTGAGGAGTTTGAGTAACCAGTTTCACTACCTTGTCCAAAAATCCTTGAGTTTTCACTTCTTTTGAAAACTTCAGTAATCCTCGGGTACGAATGCAAAACGATTTCAGTACAATTTTACAGGTATATCAAAACAGGTGATGAAATAGCTTCCTCACATTAACTTAATGGGTAAACCGATTAGTAATGGGTAAAACATTAACTTTGCGTATTAATTTTCCATTCCTTGGATCATAAATTACGCTGTTTAAATGATAAATATATTACAGATATAAATGTTTTAAAAATATGAATCATTAAAAATTAAGATATATTGATAGTAGATGTGACAGCGTATCATAATTACTACAAAGAAATAATTTAAAATCTGATGCCGACATGATGTTCGACAAATTTAATTGAATTCAACTGTACGCTATACGTATTTACATCAGTAACTGCGTAGCCACTAAAGTTGTTTATGAAAAATAAGCATTGCTATTAAGTGATCCAAATCATCAAATTTAAACATTTTAATCGACTACGAACAAAATGTGATTTACGTATGTCAAAGATTGAAACTATTTGCTAAAATCTTTTATTCTCCACAGACAAACAATGTTTACATTGAGTGTTAAAGGTGTTTGTTTCCTTCATGCGACAAGTTTCTCAAAAAGAATTTAATAAAGTTAAATTACCCAAATTTTTGAAGAAGTTTTTAAAGCGTTCACCGGCATTGTGCAGATATGTCCAGGGTCGCACCCATCGGCAAACAGGGAACAAGATCAGCAAACGATGGCCAACTTTTTAATGGAAGAGCTAAAGTATACGAAGGGCTGAAGGCAAGAGGTAACGCTTATCTCCAGTCGATGACATCTTCAGTTAGGTTCATTGGCTGGTGCTGAAGTACTACCCTCACAATACTGTCTGTGTCGTATATTTTATTCTTTTCCTTCCTAGTCCTCATCTAATCACGTAAAAAGTTGCAGAGACAATCTCCGCTCATGTAGAGGCACTTGGGCAATATTGGCTGGGTCAGTGACGTGCAGTTGTAGTGATATAAAACGTGTAATTAGACATTCAGGAAAGTGTGGAATCTCTTATAGATACTATCTCACCTGCATTTCAATTGTAATATAGTGATCGTATCCGCTTGAAAACTGAACACTTTATAAATAAATGTTTAAAAAGGGCAAATTACTTCATTGCAACAACCTGGACGGCCAACCCCTAAAGTTGGTGTAACAGCGTTACTTGCCCGGTAGTGTGCAATAACAACTATTCTAATATTACTAATCATTGAAATTAAATTACCCATTTTTTCAATCTGAGTTTACATGAATTTCGTGTTTCTACACTTTCCTGAGTACCCCTGCTGGGGAGTGGGAGCACCGAAAAGAACTAAATTTCCAAGGAGATAACAGAAATTTTAAACAGATAACATTCAGCCCTCAGCTGTCCCTAATAATTTTCCCACATTTCCCACCAAAAGTCTTATATTCGGGGAACTCACACGATCCCACAAAACCTGTGCCCACTCAGGACACAAAAACCTTGTTTTAAGGGCGTAGATGCATTATTTCTGAGCTATGTGCATTTGTAATATGTCTTGCAGTAGGGTGTTTTGTGCGTCATAATTTTTAAACCACAATTTGTTCGTTATAAATCTGTAGAAACGCAGGAATATGTGGTGATCATTTATCCAGAAGTAGTGCACTTACAGGGTTTTGTTCTGATCGTTTCTTTTTAAATTGTCAAAAATCGTCTTGTATCCTCGGTTTCATATTTTTAGAGGATACGACTAAAAATAGTTCTCTAGCAACAATTAGGCACACAGACATAACAGTTCTTCAGTGACTGCAATTCCGCAACCTAAAAAATGATTCAGAGAATCAACAAATCAGATAAAAAATCGAGAGGGACAACCTCGCTCGTAACACTAACATTTGCAATTACAGTACAACTCACAAATTATTACTCATAAAATTAAATTGAGGAAATCTCTAGGAATTTTTTCAAGAAAAAGAAATGCCAACTAACGCCTTCAATTCAAACCCCAACCAGCACTAAAATTAGATTTTTTCGTACTTAAATCCAAAAATAACCCTCTAACTTCATGTCCTTTAGATGCATAATTTCTCTTTCATTCCACCGTGAAGATTTGAGAAAGAATCAAGATATATCGAGTTTTGCGTTTCCCCGTCCAGACATAAAACACGTCTCGTTTACACCTTGCTCTCGTATTTTGGCCGCCTCCGTAAATTTAAACGTGGTTTATGAGCCCCTTAATAACGTCCTCGCGCACCGAACGCTGCGAGCGCTGGGAGCCCTTGAAAGGGCCACTTCCGCCGGCCGCGAGGGGGGCGAGGGCTGCACAGCGCTTTTTATTATTCGGCGATGAAAAAACAAATTTTTGCAGGGGTGTTATTAGCATAAATTCTCAAGTTTTTGATAAGCTGCGCTTCAGAACATTACTCACAGGAAGAGGTGGCTCAGAGCATCAACTGATTTCACTTCAGTGCCTCTGATAGGAAGGTCCTAGGTTCGAGTCCCGACGGTGGCAGGATTTTCGACACTAGCTACATAGCTAGGTCGAAATCAGTTGCTGTCTGGAGGCGAATTCTTGAGGTCGGCTGCTCTGGTCGGTAGTTTTCCGTGGTTTTTCCGATTACCACCAGGCGAATGCCGGAGCAGTACCCTAACAAATGGGCCACGGACAGCGCGTGATCTTTCCTTCCTCTCTCATGTCCTATCCTCACACGTTTCTTGCAATTCCTTACACTAACGCGCACTACACTAGCGCACATGGCGGGAAACCGGTCAGGAGCTTAGAGCTTGAACAGGCTGAAGCGGTGCCGCGCGGGTGGGAGATACCTGGTTGGGATAGATCCCGTTAGTCGACCGCAGGTCGCCGCCGGATCTCATACAGCGGGGAAAAATCAACGCCTCCTCCTAAGAGAGAGAAAACATGCACTACACTTACATAATTAATGACCTTAGCCGTTAACGCGCCCGCAATCACTACATTCAATCAATCAGGACACTACTCAATAATATTGTATGGTTTATTTGAGCTAATTTGCATAATAAATGTCATTTAAACATTTTTTGTTGCATTAGTTTGAAATATTCATCAAAAATTTCAATTATCATAACAAAATATTTAAACGCTTATAAACTGCACCCAAATCTAATGATTAAATTATTTTCAATCCATGACATTTTTGTCAAAGAAAT